AAAGTGTTTATTATCCAACTGGTTGACGGTTGAATGGGGAGTAAAACTGTGAAGAGTGTGACTCAAACTGGAAGTTGTGCCTCTTGAAAGGCAGTAGGTTTCACTGCCATGCAGCAAGAGCTGGGGAATACCTGCAGACATGTCAGCGTCTTCCATGCAAACTTTGGATGGGCGTGGCATTTTCCTAGCAACCAAAGCAATCCAAGGGAGGTTTTTGATGCAGCTTGTTTGGGACCAATTTCCCCTAGCAACAGTAAGTAACCGCTAACTCCTACTTGCCTGCCGATCAGGGAAGAAGCATGTGTGACCGAGGCTTCAGACTTTAGTAGAGTTGAAAGAGAACCCTAAGAAACCCTCTCTTACTTGGTTTAAATCACTAGACTCCAACCTTCCAAAATGTTTATGGAAAACAAACCATCACAGAAAAGTTTAAAAACTACAAAAAGCAAAACACAATGGTGGTCTAGAACCACCAAATTTTTATCACTGGTTGTTATCCAATAGATTAATCTATTTAGAAAAATATAGCAAACCAATTTTATTGGACAGCCCTTGAACAAACTTAGAACAAACATTCTGTGAAAAGTAAAAGTCTCTAATTTGCCTTTCATAAGCTTCAGTATTAAGCATCATAACTGCTTTAAAAGCCTTAACATTAACACCTCTCTGACATCCTGGTAGGAATTCTTAAAAATAATTAAGTCTTCACTTATCCCATTTAAACTAACAGATATTTGTCAGGGAAAAAAATACAACATTTTCATTGTGACATGAAAAAGGGATAAAAATCTGGAATGTGTACTACAAGATGGAAAGTTCATTTTGTTTGCAGAACTTGTATCACAATATAGAATCAGCAACAATGATTCTTGAATCAGCAAACAAAATTAATCATGCAGGAAAAATTAAATCCCAACCAACAGAATCTAAAAAGACCTACTTGGACTACAACATTTTTAAATATCTGTACCCTCAAATGGCTATCAAAAATGTATAATCTATTATTTAAAACTGATGAATTGATTTCCTTCACAACTGTAAAGTGGGAGCGAGATCTTTCCATCAAGCCAGATCAAAACTTCTTGGCAAGAGCTTGCAGGCGACTGCAGCAATCTGCTAGCTGCTCATTAACTATTTGAGGGAATATGGATTTTTTCCAGTGATTACCTGAAGGTTACACGACTGGTCTCTAGGCATGCGTGACTACTCTGGCCTTAGCAATTAATTTCACATCAACTGCCCACAAGCTGGCAGCTGGCTGGAGAGCACAAGTTATCAGTAGTGATCAGTGGTTGCTAGGTAGAATAACCCATCTTCAGGCGTAAGACAAATTCTAAATGATCATCAGTATGATGTATGGCAAAAGGAATAATCTCTTTCTCCCCAGAATTCACTGTTCTTTGTGTATATGATTATAAAAATGTATCATTTCACATTTTTTAAAGTGACCAAGCATGGCACGTTGGCAGAAGAGACCACATACGACTATTATCATTGGAGCTAACATAGAATTTGTTTTACTTAATCAGTCGAGAATTTTTAGAACAGGTTCAATAACGTACTGACTTGTTGTTTTATATTCTCTCTCTTTTTTATGGTTTAAATTAGATGGAAAACTGTCAAAATGCACTTTTTCAAATCACTTTCAAGGCTGAAAAAAACGAAAAGGAGATTTCTTGTGTTTCTCTCGAGTGTCTTTCGTCCCTACAGTCCAAGGTTGTTAATTTTGCCCTTACATATTTGCAGCTGTTA